ACCATGCTGGAGCGGGGACGGAGCCATCGCTGGGGTAGGAGACGTGTCCCTGGCACACGGTCCCCAGCTGAGACCTTTTCTTTTTCTCTGGCCAGCAACAGAAGAGCATTGCCGCCATGGAGGGCGACATGGCAGCCCTGTCCAAGTCAGCCGGGCTGTTCGAAGTGTTGGTCCCAGAATATAAACAGCTCAAAGCATGCCGCAGGGAGGTGCGCTTGCTGAAGGAGCTCTGGGACATGATTGTCTTGGTATGTGCCGCGGTCTGTGAGCCAGCATAATGGGGAGGGCAGGAGCATGGGGATGTGCAGAACAGGCTTCTGGGGTGCGCTGGGCAGGGCTGGTCCTCACAGTTTTGAAGTGGTTTATAGTGGTTGCTGGTAGCTCTCTGCGGTTGAGCACAGTGACCGGGAGCCCTGGGCTCGGTGATGGCCCCTGTGCCAGGGCACGATGCCCAGCTGCCTCCAGGCAAGGGCTTGACAGCAGACCGCTGTTGGCAGGCATGGGCACCCAGCACAGGCACCCTGCGCCAGCTGGGCATTGCCAGCCAAAGGTGCAAAGTTGTGGTAGCTCCTCCAAGAGTCTCATTGCCATGAGAGGTGGGATGAGACACAAGGCAGGTTGTCACAGCATTAGAGCAGGTCTGCTGGTGCGGGAGCTGTGCAGCCCAGCACGGGTGCAACGGGTGTGCAGGCGCTGGGCGTGCACGTGTGGGAGGCGTGGTGGGTGCACGGGGTGTACAGGCACTGGATATACTCATCTTCATCCTGGGCAGCAGTGCTTCTGCTACTTACATGTCCTGTGAAAATGTATTCCCAAATTTAGGTTAACACGAGCATTGATGACTGGAAAACCACCAAGTGGAAGGACATCAATGTTGAGCAGATGGATATTGATTGTAAGAAATTTGCTAAAGACATTCGGAGCTTGGATAAGGAGATGAGAAGCTGGGATGCGTTCACAGGGCTGGACAACAGCGTGAAGAACATGATAAAGTCCCTGCGCGCTGTGAATGAGCTGCAGAACCCAGCCATCAGGAACCGGCACTGGCATGAGCTCATGCAGGCAACCAAGGTGCTCCCAGCCCTCCTGCCCTTCCCTGGCTCCAACCCCTGACCCGGGAGGCTCCGAGATTTGCATCTATCAGGGGAAGCATGCAATCTGTTTTAAAACCTGGCCATACACAAATATTTGTGCAGGGTCTTTAAACGTGGGTGTTAATAAGCTCGTTTGGGCGAGCCACTGAGCTACCTCTCCGCGGAGGGGAGTCCATGCCCTGACAGTGCCGGTTCTGCTTCAGGTGAACTTCACCATGTCTGAGGACACAACCCTTGCAGATCTGCTGCAGCTGAACCTGCACAACTTTGAGGATGAGGTTCATGGCATCGTGGACAAAGCCATGAAAGAGTCGGGGATGGAGAAGGTAAACGGGGCTTGGTTCCTATCCTGCTTTGCTGAGAGCCCTGCTCTGATGTGGCTCTGTGGCTGTTAGCAGCTTGTGTTCCTGCTTCCGAGGGTTGGAGTCCACGTGCAGCGTGGTACGGTGGAGCTCGTGCTCTGGAAGACGCGTTCCTATTGCTGCCTTGGCTTTCCGCAAGGTCTGGGACTCGGCACCGCAGAGTCCAGCTCATTTCTCATGCCCCGCCTGCAGGTGCTGGATGCCCTGGATGCTACCTGGGCAACAATGCAGTTTGAGCATGAGCCCCACGCCAGGACCGGCATCATGCTGCTCAAGTCAGATGAGGTGCTCATCGAAACGCTGGAGGACAACCAAGTGCAGCTGCAGAACCTGATGACCTCCAAGTACCTAGCCTTCTTCCTTCAGGAGGTGTCGGGTTGGCAGCAGAAGCTGTCGACCACTGACTCCGTTATCAGCATCTGGTTTGAGGTGCAGAGGACGTGGAGTCACCTCGAAAGCATCTTCATTGGCTCCGAAGACATCCGCAGTCAACTGCCAGAGGACTCGAAGCATTTTGATGCTATCGATCAAGATTTCAAAGTGCGAAGCCCGTCACCCCCCAGGCCCCTGAGGGCTTGCTGCCAGATCAGGTAGAGCTGAAGCATTTTTCCTCTTGCAGGAATTAATGGCCGATGCAGTAAAAACTCCCAATGTGATTGAAGCTACAAACAAGCCTGGTCTCTACGACAAGCTAGAAGTGTTGCAGAAGAGGTGAGGTTTGAGTCTTTCTGGTGAAGTGTTACGGAGGGGCCTCCACCGGCTGGTCTAGGGCCAAAGAAAGAGTTTGATTTCTCCAAAGTGGCATCTTCCTCAATATGGCAATCGCTTTGCAAAGAGTAAAAATTAATATGTGGAGGTTTTAACTGCAGTTTTTCTTCCTTGTTTTCTGTTAGATTGGCGCTCTGTGAGAAGGCTTTGGCTGAATACCTCGAGACCAAAAGACTGGCTTTTCCCAGATTCTACTTTGTTTCCTCTGCAGACCTGCTTGATATTTTATCTAATGGGAATGAGCCAGTTGAGGTATGGGCTGAGTGTAAAGCGTGGAGGCAAGTCCTGTGTCTCTTGCGTGCTATCTTGTTATAGCAGTTTTAAAATATTTTTCATCCTAACAGACAGAACACCATCCCTGGTACACACCTTCTCAGGGATGCAGTGCCCTGAGGGACGTGCGGGAGTTAATCCAAGTGGTGATTACACCTCTGCGTGGGACCGGGGGTCCCTGACCCTCTGCTGTGCCTGTTCTCAGGTGTCCCGTCATCTGCCGAAGCTGTTCGACAGTCTGGCTAAACTGAAGTTCAAGATGAGTCCGGACAAAAAGCCCCTGAATTTTCAGCAGGGACGAGGAGTACGTGCCCCTCGACACAGACTGTGACTTGTCTGGCCAGGTCAGCCGAGCTCCGTGGAGCCTCCGCTTGCGGGGACAGAGGTGGGCAGGTTCAGGACGGGGACGAGCCTTTTGCTTGTTGTGCACTAACAGCCTGGCAGCAGTTTTAAAATGCAATCGTGAAGCCTTTCGGCCAAAAAAAAAAACCAGAAATGGGATCTGCATTGCGGGTGTAGAACAGCGCTGCAGCAATATCAGAGTCATATAAACCCGCTCCAGCCTCGCAGCCCCTCAGGCGGTCACAGCGTGTTTTTCCCCTCTCTGTTGTTCACCCTCAGCCCATGCTCCATAAACTGCCATGGGAAGTGCGCTGCAGGGCCCTGTACTGGGGTCTTTCATCCAGCTTGTTACAACGCGCAGGCAGAAGCTTGCCGTGCAGAGCAGCCAGGAGCCGCTTGCACGCTGCCGCGGGGTCCTGCAGCCAGACCGGACACGGGCCAGGAACCGATCTCTCAGGGTTTGCTGGATGTCACCCTCCAGGTCGAGGTTTGGCTGAACCGAGTGCTGGAGAGCATGCGCTCCACGCTGCGGTGCCTGATCCCCGAGGCCATGGTGACCTACGAGGAGAAGCCGCGGGAGCAGTGGGTGTTCGACTACCCAGCACAGGTGGGAGCTTCCGTGCGGGGCCGGGCTGGCCGGCAGCTCCGTGAGCCGAGCTCCGAGAGGAGGAGCAAGCGCAGAGCCGGGGAGGTGCAGGCGCCTGCCCTGAGCCATCGCGGGGACAGCGTATTTCCCTTTGTGGCCACATTTTGTCCCTGTGGTTTGCTGCAGGTTGCTCTGACGTGCACCCAGATCTGGTGGACTACAGAAGTCGGCATTGCCTTTTCAAGGCTGGAGGAAGGCTATGAGAATGCAATGAGGGATTACAACAAAAAGCAGGTTGGCATCCCTCAAACCTGACCTGGAGCTGTCCTGCAGCCCCTCTCTGCTTGGAAGAGGCGAGGTCCAGTCCAGGGGGTCACCGGGAGATGGACAAAGTGTGATGTCTTTTTTCTGTTCATCATTTCTTTCCTTCCTCAGATTACTCAGCTAAATGCACTGATTTCACTACTCATTGGAAACCTAACCGCAGGAGACAGGATGAAGATCATGACAATCTGTACCATTGATGTCCATGCCAGGGATGTTGTGGCCAAAATGATCCTTGCGAAGGTATTTGTTACAAGAGGATATTCTTACTGCTTTTTTTCTTTGCACTTCTGAGCAAAGACTTCCTGTATGTTATTACTTTCCAATATTTTCAAAGTATCCTGACTGCATGAGGAAACCACACGTGGGGTGTTAGGGGTGCGTGGGAGCCAGGGAGGTGACAGCACGGCCGGAGCAGTTTTGCCTGTCCCTGCCGCACTCGGTGGGAGCCGGGAGCCTCGGCGCAGGGCTGTGCACCGCGGTCGGCGGGTGCGGGGTGGGCTGGGCCACGTGGTGGGACGGTCCTCACCCACCCCAGCATTGTACTGGGACCCATTTGCACGCTCTC